AACCCCAAACCCCAAATCCTAAACGCCAAAGAGAACCCTATGAAACCCGGAACCCAGGCGCCTGCCTAAAGCCGAAATCATAACCCTTAAGTCCTCAACCCCAAACCCCGACAAGAATCCTATGAAACCCCAAAGAGAACCCCATGAAAAGCCGAAACTTCCTCAACCATAAACCCTAAACCCTAAATTGCACTTAAGTCCTCAACCCCAAGCCCTAAACGCCAAACCCAAGTCCTAAACCCGAAACCCCCAAACCCCTAAACCCTAAAGCCCTAACCCCTAAACCCTAAACCCCTAAACCCTTAAACCCTTTAAAGGAACCCTTTAAAGGAACCCTTCGAAGGAGCCCTTTAAAGGAGCCCTTTAAAGGAACCCCCTTTAAAGGACAAAGACTCGGCGCCTGCTCGAGCCTTGCTGTGGGGACAGGAGCTCGGGAACGAAATCTTCGCTCTCGTGCCTTGGGATTCGGTGCCTTTAGGGCTTTGGGGGTTTAGGGCTTTGGGGGTTTAGGGGTTTTGGGGTTTTGGGGTTGTTTAGGGGTTTAGGGTTTAAGGTTCAGGGGTGTTTATGTAGGGGCTTTGGGTTTTAAGTAGAAGTTTTTGTGGGGGTTTAGGGCGTTGGGGGCTTCGAGGTTTTTGAAGCTTCAGGGTTTGGGACCTTAAAGCTTTCTTTTAACGGGTTGCTTTAAGGGTTCCTCTAAGGGTTCCTAAAGGGTTCTATAAGGGATTCTTTTAGGGTTTACGATTTAGGGTCTCTTATAGGGCTGTAGGGCTTGAGTGTTGTAGGGTGTAATCTCTTCCCACCATTATAACCCCTCCCCCCTAATATAAAAACGCCCGGGCCCAGAATTTCGCAGTTTCGGGCCAACAGTTGAAAGATAATTAAACACACTAGGGGGGGGGGGGGCTAGGATTGTATGAGCTTTAATAGAGCCAAAGATTACAGCTGTACTAATCCAACGGAAGAGACCAGGGCTTTAGGGTTTAAGAGTTTAGGGCCCAGGGCTAAAGCTTTAGGGCTTCGGGCTTTAGGGCTCAAAGTTTAGGGCTCAGGGCTTTAGGGTCCAGTCTAGGGCTCGAGGTTTAGGGCTTAGGGCTTTAGGGTTTCGCACCCTAAAAAATCAAAACAGAATCCCGGACATGAGTTTTTACATTAGAGGGTGTGGGGGGTTTAATATTAGGGGGAAGGGATTAATCTAGGAGGCTTAATAATTAGGGTTTGGGGGCCCGTTCTACTATTTATAATTGTAATAAAGAACCACCAAAATAGCATAGGTAATTATTGAGGCCCCTATATCATAGTACCCTCATAGATTTTAGAGCCCTTATAGTAACCCTTTTAAAGGAACCCCTAGATTAGTTCGAGGCCCCTACAGCAAGGCGTTAGGGTTCTGGGTTCGGCTGTAGGGCTGTAGGCTTCAGGGGGTTGACTCCTCGTCTCAGTTCGCCGGTGCTGGGACTCCTCGCTGTGTAATATAGGAGCCTGAGTAATTACCTATACTATTTTGGTGGGTTCCTTGTGATAATTATAGTATATATAGTATATATAGTATATATATATACATATAGATATATATATATATATATATATATATGTATATATGTGTCTATATATATGTATGTATATATGTACATATTTATTGGGCCCCCAAAACCCTGTGCTAATCATTAAAGGCCCGTATATTCTAAACCGTGAATCAAGCCGTAGACTCTTCGGAGGACCCCTAACGAAAGCCCTGGACTGCTAATCTCGCAGATTTTTTGGCTTCCAGAGAATCCGAAGCCATGAACTCGTAAAGGGTATAGAAAGCCTAACCCAATAAGCCCTAAAGCCTTACCCTGAAATTACAGAGGGATCCAATATCGGATAAACAGTTAAGTAGACTCCTCGTGTGCGGAACCTGTGAAACCCCATTCAAAAATCTAGCAAACCTTTCAAACCCTAGACCCTCAAACTCCAGCCCAAAAGCCCTACACAATCTACCATTCCTGAATCCACCGCAGCTACCCTAATCCCTTCAGCTTTGCAATGGACCCCAGAAAAGCGAAATGCGTTTTAAGGATGGATAGTGCTGGGATTCCCTAAGTTACAGCACCCCCAAGTATTCTGCCATACGGTTGATGATATAAGTCCTGCATTACCCATAATAAGGAATGTACCTTAATTCCCCATAGTTTAGGGCCCTTAAAGTAATGCAGGATGTATATCCCTAAACCCTAAACCCTAAACCCTGAAACCCTAAAGATCCCTTAAAGGAGCCCCTTGAAGATACCCCTATAGATCCCTTTAAAAGGAGTAATGCAGGATGTATATCCCTAAACCCTAAACCCTAAACCCTGAAACCCTAAAGATCCCTTAAAGGAGCCCCTTGAAGATACCCCTATAGATCCCTTTAAAAGGAGTAATGCAGGATGTATATCATCAACCGTAGAGGCCTTCTGGTCCTTAAACATACTTAAAGGATCATGGGACTTAGTAACTAGGGTTCCTTAAAGGGCTCCTTTAAAGGGGTCTATAGGGGTTCTATAAGAAGGGATTTGGGGTCTAATTACTTAAAGAATCATGGGACTTAGTAGCTAGGGTTATAATTAGGGTAACTATACTTATAACTACTTATAACCCCAATTAAGGTACTTATAACCTTACATACTAAGTCCCATGATCCTCCAAGTAGGGCCCGCGCACACCGTCCTCTCCACCGGTGCTGTCATCGCCCCGACGCGCGGCGGCCTCGGAGTGGTGCGCAGGCTTCAGGGTTTAGGGCTTTGTGGTCTAGTTCGGGATCAGGGTTAAGGGCTTACAGGGTTTAGGGGTCTAGAGTTTAGAGCTGTGGGGTTTAGGACTATAGGGATTTAGTGCTCCGGCTCATGGAAAGGTCGACAACGGTTTTAGGGATTTAGGCCTCTATCGGGCTGGCGCTTTACGGCTTGAAGGGTCTATGCGAGTTAAATTACGACTAATCTGAGTTGTCCTTCAAGCCCCTTTAAAAATTATTTTTTAACATTATGGTTCTCTATAAAACTGTAGGGAAATGAAAAACGATCCCAAAGGACAACCCAGTAATTTGAACTAGGGCAATAAGACTCCTGAATTTAAAACGCTTTGCAGGCTTGTAGACGGGCCCCACCCACGGTTGCATAGGCCATCCCATGGGGTCAGGCCTAGGGAGGGCTACGGGCTCCTGTTTTACTTAAAGGATCATGGGACTTAGTAACTAAAACTATAATTAGGCTAACTATACCTATAACTACTTATAACCTCGATTTAGGTACTAATAACCTTACTTACTAAGTCCCATGATCCTCCAAGTACACGTTCTATAAAGGCTTTCCGGGTCTGTCAATATTGAGGAGGAAGGATGCACCAAACCCAAATTTGGATGGAACGGTTGTCCGGGGGGATTGCAGATAATTCCGCAGTATTAGTATTGCTGCTTTCTGGGTTTGAATCATATTACTCGTAGTATTTCTACCTTAAGCCGGAATAACCTGCCTGTATAGGGTTCCTTATTATGATTTCTTGATATAAGTCCCTAAAAAGGTAGGTTATTCCGGCTTAAGGTATTGGTATTTCCATTTTAGAGGGTCCCTTGAATCTTGGAATCGGATTCAAGGCCTGATTTTCCTGAAAGAACTACCCGATAGAAGGCCTGAAAACCTACTAAGTACTAAGTACTTGGAGGGGCAGGGGACTTAGTAAGGGTTCCTCAAAGGGTTCCTTAAAGGGATGTATAGGGCTCCTTAAAGGGATCTATGGGGTTTAGGGTATAGGGTCTACTTAGAGGCAGGGGAGTTAGTAAGTAGGTTATAAGTAGAGATATAGGTACTCTAAATGGAGTTACCCCAAGTATAACCCTACTTATAAGCGACTTCCTAAGTCCCCTAAGCGACTTCCTAAGTCCCCTGGGCCTCCCAGTACGTACAGCTCTCAAACGGACCAACCCGAAACTCGAAGCTACGCCAAGCCATTCTGTTTGGGTACTTGGACCCCCTCGGTAACCCTAAGCCCTACCTGTACCCCTTAACCCAAAGGGTCCCTTAAAGGAACCCTTCTAGATCCCTGAACCCTAAATCCTAAACCCCCCATAGATCCCTTAAAGGAACCTCTATAGACCCCTAAACTCGAAACCCTAGACGATCCCTAAACCCTAACCCGAAGGGTCCAATGTACCGATATAGTAGAATGTAGGGTTTCCATATTAGGAATTACTATTACTGTATGACTTAGGGACGTATCCCCCATAACAGTACAAAGGACCTTTTGGGTAAGCCTACTGCAGCCTTACGGTTTTCAAAAATGGATCCAGAGAGCAGAACGCTTTTTAATCTCCCATTCGCCAGAGAGCCGCCGAGCTTGCCAGCTAGGAAAGTTAAAGGTCAGGGGCCTTGCCAATCACCAACCCAAAACCCTAAAACTCACTAAATCCTCCACCCCCGAACCTGTGTACCCGAGGCTCTGAAGCCTACACTGCTGTCTATTATAAGTTGGGAACCCAACTTGAGAACCACTCCCCTGTGGCTCAAAATCGCAAAATAGCTGAGTAGTTAGCTCTAGTTCTAAGGCCCAGCGTTAGGACAACCCTGCGCTTAGGGTTGGGATTTTTGGCTTACGGACTTTGCTTGTTGAAGTGAGACCTTACGAGGCGTACTTGGAGGGGCGGGGCACTTAGTATGTAGGTTATAAGTAGAGTTGTAAGTACCCTAAATGGAGTTACCCCAATTGTAACCCTATACTTATAAACGACTTACTAAGTCCCCTGGGCCTCCAAGTAGGGCTCAGAGTTTAGGATGTCGGCCTTACCTTAACCCGGAATAGCCTACCTTGTATGGACTTATATAAGGGATCCCACTGTGAGGGTGCAAGAGCCTCAGGGTAAGGCTCAAGGTTACGGGGTCTCGGGCGTAGAGTTTCGGGTTTAGGGTTCAGGATTTGGGGCTTGGGTTAAGGGAATATAGCGTTTTGAGCTTCGGGTGATAATGCCAAGCCCCTCAAGCTGGACGCTACCGGAGCATCGCCGCGTCTTCAGAACGTATCTCAAGCTTGTTGCCTGGTTGAGCTTAGGCTGTACCAGTAGGGCCTCAGGTCTTAATAATTAGAGTACGGTTTCGGGGATGTACAATTGGGCACCCAACCCCTGAACCCCAAACGTCTTAACCCTAAGCTCTAAAGTCTAAACCAAGAACCCCAATGCCGGAAGCACAGCAAACCCAAACTTCCTGCTCCCTGAACCACTCCAGCGAATCGTGCCTCCGATTGGTCTTGCACAACGCAAGAAAGGATGTTGCAGTTTAGATTTACAGCTGTTGGGAGGAATCAGAAGTCGAGGGTTCAACCCCAAACCCTCAATCACGAAACCCTTTGAGCATTCAGAGGCATTTACCTAGTTCATGGTTGGTATACAATTTTACACTTGATGGTTTAAGTACCCATAAAAGTGTAAAATGCTGCCAAACTAAGTTCATGGGGGGATTTTGGGGGGGCACCGAGGGTTTTCTGTAGGAGGTTGCGGCTCAGAGGAAGTCCAGGGTTAAGGGTTTGACGGTGGAAACTGCAGTGTTTAGGGTGTAATATAGGGGCCTCAATAGTTAGAATAAGGGTTCCTTTAGAAGGGGTTTATAAGGGCTCATTGAAGGGCTATTATAATGGTCTAGTATAGGGGCCATAATAATTAGAATAGGGTGTGGGGACATATTAATAAGGAACCTCCAAAATAGTATTGGCAACTATTTAAGCCCCTGTTGCCAGAACATGACATAGAATCCAAGTACGTATTCATCCAACGCACATGCAAGCATGTACGGACCCAGACACGGCGGACCAGAGAGAGAGAGAGAGAGCGACGCGCACACACACACACACAAGCAAACACAATGACAGAGACAGACTCGAACAATATCTGAACTGAGTAGGGGCTTGTGAAACACACACTGTGCTATGGTTACAGACAGGAGACTAGCAGCGACAAATCCTGACGGTTATTAAAATCTCTATGCTATGTGTTGCGACAGGGATCTTCATCATTGCACATTGAAGGTTTAGGTTTTTGAAGAAGGCTCTTGGAGAGAAGCGCATGATTGCTCAGAAGCCCATCGCTACAAAGCGCTGAGTAATTCCATCCAGTACATACAGGCTATAGGCGGCAGTATTAGAACCCCCTCAAGGCTCAACGAAATACCCTGCCGTCGGAGAGCCTATGGGGTCCAACAACTCCAGGACAACCTCAGACAAGAGGGCGATGAAGCCAAGCAGAGTACAGGGTTTTGTGGTACAACTGTTGATGATATAAATCCTGCATTACCCACAGTGAGGGATATAGCATAATTCCCTTAGTTTAGGGTCCTTAAGGTAATGCAGGATTTATATCATCAACCGTAGTAAGGGTTTCGGCAGTTTAGGGATTTAGGGAAGGGGGTCCAAGGCACGACATATGCTCGACATAGGGCTTCAGGGTTTGGGAAACTGTAAGTTGGGAACGTCTTGAGTTCCTGCATGGCTTCGGCTTTGCATTCCAAAACGGTTTAGTATTTATTTGTTGAAAGTGAGTCGGCTCGTTCTTGGCGCCACATGGTTTAAGGTTCCAGGGTGTAGGGTCTGGGGCCCACCAGCCTATGATAAGTGAATTCGGGTCATCAGTCTTCTCTTTTCCGAGCTTTGTTGCTGTAGCCATGAACAATCTCAAATCCCAAAGGGTCCTATGTACCGATATAGTAGAATGTAGGGTTTCCATATTAGGAATTGCTATTATAAGTATCCCGCATAACAGTACAAGGGACCTTTGGGAATTGACCGAAACCATCCTTCTCGCGGCCATCCTTCCAGCTGCGCTCATTACTACAACTCGGGGAGTTAAAACTACAGGTGTCAATCTGTGATTGTTCATGCCCTAAAGCCTAAGCCCCTCTCTTAGTTGCTGAGTTCATAAGTCCCAAAAAGTGTACACTTTCAGTTTTATAGCGGTTCGTAATATCCCAAAAAGTGTAAAGTGTATCCACTCAGCTGACCAAAACTCAGCATTCTCAGGAGCGCCTTAAAACCCTTACCCATAGGCTCTATAGTAGTTCCTTTTTGGGGTTCATATTCAAAGTACTATGAGGTACTCCCAAAAAAGGACCTCTAGAACCAAGAGTAACCTAGGAACAAAAAGGGTGCCCTTTCTGGTTTAAAGGGGCTTATAAGGAACCTGAACCCTAAAACAAGGGAATAAGGGCCTACTCTAGGTCCTAAACCCACTATGGAGCCTGTGGGCAAAAACCCTAAACCCTAAACCGCACTGATCAAGCCAGGGCTCAGCTCGAACCAGTCGCTCAAGCTCTGCGCGCCCGGCCGCGGCATCCGCCGTGCGCATCTCCGAGTACCACTTGATCTTCGGCTCGGTACCTGGGTGTAAACCCTAAACCCCCATAGATCCCTTTAAGGAACCCCCATAGATCCCTTTAAGGAGCCTTTAAGAGCCCTTACGAAGTCCCCTGCCCAACCTTCCCTTCTCCACCCCGAAATCGACCCTATAGCACCTGACACTTATGGAATCATTAGTAGAATACTTGATCTTGGGCTCAGTACTTGGGTGGCAAAGCTTATTTGCGTCTGTGTATGATTATTTTACTCATGCTGTACATACATACATAAGACGTATCTATCTGCCTATCTACCTATATATACATATATGTTAATACAAACGTGACGGTAGGGCTTTTCCGTTGTTGGACGTCCTTGTCAAGTATAGACACATGTATATAGTATATGATAACTACCGGAGCCTGAAACACAACGTCGACCTGTGGCTTTGCGTCGGCTTCTTATCATTATTACTCTTCTTTTTGTGATCATCATCCCCCGTATGATTACGTATCCTTTTGAATGTTGCGATTTTGTCACGGGTGTTGTCTTCGGGCTCAGCACTGACTCAGCACCTTGAATGACACCGTGCTTGTTGCTTCTTCTCTATGGCTTTCGTATGCTTCGGTTTCTCATGCATGGGCTCTCGTTGCTGCTTTTAAAGGGCTCAATGAGGGACGGCACACAAGGAGTGCAAACGGCCGATAATCAGGTGCCCCAAGGCTCCATGTACCTATATGTCATGTACTTCGGCCTGAACGTACCTAGGCACTAGGCAGTCATTTGAAGGCCTATGTATATACTTTCTAGGTACATGGCGCCTGACGGCGCGGGATGGTGAACGTGGACACCGTAAGCCAGAAGGTTTTCGTCTGCTACTAAAGAGGTGTTGTGTTGTGTCGGGTCCCAATAGCCCTGGGGCTCAAGAATAGCTTCTGTGTTTAGGGTTTAGGGGCGTATGATCAACGCCTCAAACTTTAGAAGAGTCTTCAGGCATATATAAAAAAACATCCTTCTACCATTATATCGGAACCCTATAGTTCTATAACTATATAACTCTAGGGTCTCGTTTTAAAATGAAAGAGTTCCGGGGCGCAAGGTTTAGGCCTTGGGGCCGGAGGAATTGACCTCAATCCTGCCACCTTCCAACTTCGACTCATTCTGGAACCCTTTGTTTTCGGGCTCAGGGTTTAGGGTGTATGTCACAGTTCAGGGTTTAGGGTTTCTGATCAGAGTTTATGGTTTGGGGCGTGGGGGTAAAGGAAGGTTTCAGGCGAATTATATAACGGCTGGTGTATTGCAGGTCAAGTGGCCAGAAGTCCGCAACGTCACCTGCCAGTAGGGCCTATTTAGGGTTTAGGGTTGGTTTCTTTCTGTACAGCAACCGGCAAAACCTTCAAACCAAAATGCACAGGAGTTGTAGGGTCCGGATATGGTTGAAGGGCCATGGGTTTAGGACGCAGGTCATCTGGCAGCTTCAAGAAAGAACAAAACAACCAAATATGGGCTCTATACTGCAGGACCCGTTTTGCTAAAGCAAACTCCTGTATAACACATATAAGACACCCATACATCCATCTCTCTCTCCCTCTCTGTCTCTCTCTGTCTCTCTCTCTCTCTCTCTCTCTCTCTCTGTATATATATATATATGTATACGTTTAAACTTATAATTGAATTTAAATGCATACTTATATGAATGCGTTTGTATATGTGTATGTAATGATATATACATGCATACGTAGAAATTTATGAGCACACACACATATATATATATGTATACATATACTTATTCTAGAAAATCGAAGATATGCACCTGTAAAGATATCAGCAGCCCGGCTCTACTTCCTAGCTGTGACCCATCGCACCTCGGCCTGAGCTGCCGCAAAGTAGTACGTGATCATTTCGCCACCTGATTTTGGCAAGGGATGGGTGTCCCTTTGTGGTGTAGGGAGCTTAGGTATCTAATAGCTTCTAGATGCTAGGCTTAACTTTCAAGGGTCAAAGATTGGGGGGATGCGGCTCAAACGGGTGTTGGGGGTACTTGGCAAGTTATTTAAACGTTCTTGTTTTGCCCCTCTTTGCATCGCTCGAAAGAATACATCCTCCTCACATTGCAGGACTTCTCAATAAACCCTAAACCCCTAATGAAACCGCGAAACCGAGTTGCGTGGTTGATTGAGTTGCGGTTCAGTGCTCCCGTCATGTCGGCTTGGCAGCGAGTACATCATGAACGGATGCGGTAACAGTACGCGCCGCAAGCGCGAGAAGTCTGGCCCGTGCAAAGCTCACATCATCCCAACGGAACCTGGACACAGGCAAAAGGCGGACCTTTCGGCGGCCGGTTGGATTTGTCAAGGTTTCAAAATGTCGAAGCACCCTTGGAGGACCCAAACCTCGAGAAACACCCTAGAATCTGCCGAATCATGATCGTTCCTTGGGAGGAGGAAGTATACCAGACATCCGAACAGGAAAGTTACAGCACACCTCCAAAAACAACATAAACTACATTACATGCCCATTCGAGTACCTACTTACTATTTCACATCAGAACACATGAACCTCTCTAGCCATGCAGCACTACACACTTCGAAAATGATGTACGGACAAAGTAGCATCTTCGCTGATCCACGTTTAATCTGCTTCTTTCCGAGGGTCCCCTTAAGGCTTGTATGGGAATTTGAAGGCCTCGGGGTATGAGCGTTTGGCTTTTCCGAAAACACTACAGTCCTTATCAGATCTGAAAACAAGCCCATACTGTTGATGGACCAAATCCTGCATGACCCTAAGGACTCTAAACGATGGGAACTATGGTAGATTCCTTATAATGGGTAATGCAGGATTTTTGTCCATCAGCAGTATGTTGCCCTGACATCCGGTTTAGGATTTAGGGCTAGGCCTTTGCAAACATCCTTCCAAGAAGCCCGTCTGAGCCCGACAAGATCCCATTGTGGCGCTCTGCTAAAGCTCCCCTACAAGCCCTAACCCACAAACCCAAAAAGCCCCAAAAGGCTCTGAGAGTAAGCTCCAGAAAAAAGCCCTGGTATGCAGAGGAAGAAGCCGAAAAAACAATTACCAATAGTATTCATGAGAGTAGTCATAGGTGAACTCACTTCCATGCCTTGCCCTCAGTCTTAAGTCCCTCAAATCAAAACAGTACCCTTGTAGTAACCCTGTAAAGCAAACCTTTAAAGGAACCCTCTAATTCTTAAAAGCCCTACGTCCTATACCCTTTCAGATCCTCACCGAAACCCTTCAGAGTAATCCTGTAAAGGACCTCTATTCTAAGTGTTAAATTTTTCCTTTACATACTAAGCCCCTAGTACTATACCGACCTCTTTGTAGCAACCCTCGAAATCCCTAAGGGTCCATGTACTCATATAGTATATACATTAGCCTTAGTGTAGTCCCTATATAGGTACTTTGCAGCCCATGTATCTCTATACGGGTACATGGACCCTTAGAGAAGTACAGGAACCTTGAAGGGAATCCTCTTCTCACTGCTATTTCCCGAGAGACCCGAAGAGACCTCTAAAGGCCACACCCATTAACCCCAAACCCTGAAACCCTAAACCCTGAAACCTAAACTCTAAACCCCTAAACCCTGCAACCCTGAACTCTAAACCCTAAACACCTAAATCCTAAACCCTCAAACCCCAAACCCTAAACCCCAAAACCCCTAACAATCCTAAACCCTTAAACCCCAAAACCACCCTAAACCCCTAGAAACCTATTCTAAATCAGATGACGGCCCCCTGTACCAAGCTGAGGAATGAGCCGATGTTCAGCGGCAGCTCCGGCTTACCATCCTCCACGTCTCTGCAGTTTAGGGGTTTAGGGTTTAGGGTAAAGGGGTGCCTTCATAGTTTAGAACAGGGTTCAAGGTTGTTTACAAAAAGGGGCTTTCCAAATTTAGAATAAAGGGTGATTAAGGGTTGGGGTGTCAGTGTTTAGGTGTTTAAGGTTTCAGGGTTTGGAGGGTTTAGGCTTTATAGAGGTCTCATCGGGCTTCGTGGAATACTTTGTCAATTACAGTCCGATACCTAATTATCCCTAAGGGTCCATGTACTCATATAGTATATACATTGGCCTTCATGTAGTCCCTATATAGGTACTTTGGGGCCCATGTACCCCTATATGGGTACATGGACCCTCAAGGTATCGTTCAGGATGCTTCAGCGTAGGGGCTTCATGCTTAGCACTGAATCCCAAAGGGTCCTTTGTACTGTTATTTGGGATACTTCCCTAAGTCATAATAGTAATTCCGAATATGGGAACCCTGCATTCTACTAAATCGGTACATGGGACCCTTTGGAATAGAGTTCCTTCACGAAGCTCGACCAGGCTGCCTATAGGGGCAAGGATTGGGGGTTTGGGATAAGGGCCCTAATCTTTTAGGGGTGTGTTCATAGCGTCTCGTGGACAATACTCGGGTTTAGTAAGGCCTGTGTGAAGGTTGTATAGGGTCGTATACGATACGCTCGTATACATCTTGCATTCATACATTATATAGCAACCACCCAAAGGGTCTACATACACCTCGCCCCCCTGTGCATGCGTTAAGTTGCCGTTACCTGGGGACCTGTTTGATCACACTTTGTGCGCTCATACTGCTCAGGAACACGAAAGGAACTTTCTGTGTCCATACAAACCTTTCGTGTTCATATGGTTTCTTGTATGGCTCAGTTGGGCCATGAAAACACAAGTTGGGCCTTCATGTTTGAGCCTTTGAGCCAGAGTTTGAGCCTGCTTAAGGTCGAGGGTTTAAATAGATTAAGGCCGGGGCTGAGAAGTTTAGCGTTTAGGGTTTTAGGGTTGCCATCAAGATTTGTAGGGCCCCATATTGGATTGAAGTGGGTTCGGGTGTTCAAGCTGGAATCTCCTGAAATCTGACCCTGAACACCCTGAAGCTGAATTGGGGTGGGTCATGTTGCTTTGATACAGTGGGTGCTGTTCGCTTATGAGCAAGGTTTCTTCGTCGTTGGCAAAATCTAAATTACCTCGTACCTACCATTAGCATACCTACAACACACTACCTACCTGCCTGCATGGCTGCCCAGCTAGCTGCCTAGCTAACTACCCCTACCTTTACATACTGCATACATAAGAAGAAACACAACAGCATGCACACCTGCATACCAACACACATACATACATGCGCCTAGCTACCTAGCTACCTAGCTACCTATACTGCCTATATACCTATAGCCATATACCCCCTAGCTCTCAACCCACCGACCTACCGACCTATACCCCACCTACGTAAGGTAAGTTGTGAAATTCCCTTGTACATAAAGATCCATATACCCAACCTGAAGATTCCCAGAGCCCTTAAGCCGGACGAGCTGGACCATCTCTTGCGACCGGCGGAGCCGGAGACTCAGCTTTTTGGCAGCTTCCGATTCCATGTGCCTGCCAAATCGAGAATGTATCTTTGTAAAAGCCGTTTCTCAGCTGTGCGCTTGTCGCTCATCCGCAAAACCCGCATCAATTTCTTCAATGAGTCCTCGTCGACCCATGTCGAGAACTGCGCAATATTGCTTCTGCTTGGCACCGACTCGAAAAATATGTGTGCCAATACGTGAAATTTCGGCCGCAATCGGAAAAGATATTCCTGACGCTGTATGCTTTGAAGACAGCTTCGAGCCAGGGACACGTAGCAGTGCAAATAAAGTTGGCCAAACTGCAACTTGTTCTGTTCTTCGACCGGAGCCAAATACCGCCCAGCGTTATGCAACATCGACATGAGATGGGTAGCACACCAAAGACATGTGCAGATGTCTCTGGGTAGCACGGAACTGTGGCGAGAGCAAAGGTCGTTGAGCCACTCCAAAACAACGTAAGTATCGTAGCCGGAGCTGCGGAGTTCCGGGTAGCTCGTACGGGTTTTGAGGCCAAGCTTGCTTTTCGAAAGTTTGTGAAGCTTCAAAGGAAGCTTTCTTGCCTTGGCATATGCCTTAAGCTTGGAAGTCGCATCTGCCAATCGATCTTTGATATTAGTTCCCAGCAGTATGCCAGGACAATCGGCTTTGCGCTTCACGATATACATGATCACCGATCCAGCAAGATCGCGACCACACCCTAAGTGCCATACATGTAGAAGGTCCGGTTTTATGAGCGGGGTCTCGAAACCAGCGAGCCTTGTATACGATGGCCTGATAGCCCATGGTTCTTCAGTAAACATCGTTCTCCAGTATGGAGCATCGGGGCTAACGTTCGAAAAAGCCATCGGCAAGCTTGCAGCACTTAGGCCCTTTGTCGCAGAACACATCCAGCAGATCTGCACAGGGAAGCATAAAGTGTATCTTGTCAATACATTAACTTATGATTGCAAAGACCCGACAGTCCAAATCTGAAGTATTTGCCACCAATCCTCGAACCCCATACAAACCTCGGTGCTTAGCTCCCATGCGTATACATTGTAATTCCTAAAAAAACCCAAACATCCCTATATCCCAAACCCTTCTCAACACTGCCTCGTCCCTGTCAGCGTATCTCTCTAGCGCGAAAACTTGCTTTAAGGCCTTCCAATCGCCTCGAAAAGCTGCAACCCAGCAGTGGAGTCGGGCAGCCTGGGAACAGTTGAGCCGGTCTTGGGTTTCGAAAGTTTATTGAAATTTGGTTTGTAGTCTATAGCGGTTACTTAAGAAAGGATTGCCAAATTCTTCCGGGTGACAACACTGTTGTCGGTAGGATCTCTCAGAGGAATTCCAACTTCGGACAATCGGTTAAAGCTTTCTGTAATGCATTTGCAAGCGGCTTGGATCGTGAGGTTGATCTGGTTGTCAGGGTGTATCACGTACCGCTCTGCAGGGATTATTGCTATCAGCAGCCTTGAAGCTGCAGCATCGGTCAAGTAGGGGGACAGCTGCGAAGTCCACATCAAGAACATCCAAGATGTGTTGATTGCTGTAGCCTCATCACCTTGATTATTTTGCACCGGGAACACAGGGTTGCTATCCTTAGGCGTGGGTGCGACTTTTAATCTAGTGCTGGCATAAACTCTACAGCCCAATCGATGATGACTACACCACTAACTATATTGCGTAACAACTTCAAAAGAAAACGGGCCACAAATCCCGCTTATGTTCCCAAACTTAACAATATGATATCCTCAACAAGTGGCAGTACAGCGTACAACCCAACGATAGACGTTGCAAGCCTGCGTCCTTGGACACCGGATGCTCAGGATGATCTTTGCAGAACTGTGCCCAGTAGCCGGGGATCTCAGCGAGATCCGAGACCAAGGCATGTAGGTGGCCCTGGTTCACGATGGTTTCCACCTCGGTTGGAGGTCTTTTGGATTCGGGTTGGCAAAACTTCTGGGGCCCAAAGAGTTTAAGTTTAAGGTCGTTGATATAGGTCCGGTATACAGAAAGTAATTAATAAGGGTTTAAGCAACGACAGGTGTAGCTAGGTGGGAATAGGAGTACTGAAATTGATGAGAAACCATATCGTATGGCAAAATGCATGGCCAATCCTCCCAGACAATGGCGTCGCCATCAGAGTCAGCTTTCAGAGGCAATCGCATTGAAGAAATTTTCACCGGTAGACTAATGTCCAATGCCCTGGCCCGGTTGTGCACATCCGTCTCCCTGAGATTCCTTGGCTATCTCTTATTTTGCAATTGCAACAAATTACAATAAGAATGAACGTAAGTCCTAGACCTAATAATCACCAACCCTGCTTTATTCATTGTGGGGCAAGCATCGATAGCAAATCGCTTTCATAGACATCAGCCAGCTCGCCCGAATGTCTAATTGACGTGTAGCCACGACCAATGCCACGAGCCACCCTTAGCTATGATGCCCCAGCTCAACAGTACTACAGCAGCACTTTTGGCTTAGGCTTCAGGGATATAGGGTACAGGGCTCTATACATTTCCACATAAGCTCGAGCAAGATGCGCTTCATCCAGTCTGGGTCGAACACGACGAAGATCATCAGAACCTGCGTGGGACTTTAGAGCGGGATCTTGAAGGGGGTTTAAACTGTGAATTGGAAGCATTCTCCCTAGCTGCGTGCACAGCGAACTTTCACACATGCCGTCGCACATCTATCCTCATGCTTCCTCGATCGCTACAGCAAAACTGACACGAGGCTATGTGCACAGCCAGTGGATGCATTGCTGCTGCAATCACATCCGGACCCTTTCAAACATCCAGGCCTAAGGCCAGAGGTGCAATCGCAGGGCAACAGCATATATGATGTTAAGTTTCGACGGAAATCAACTACAGTAGCTACAGCTCGCTTCCGCGGGTTTCGTAGGCTTCTATACTGTGTTGGGTATTTGCTTCACCTACAGTATTTGTATCTATGTACATATATTGGGATTGGACTATGAGAGCCTTCGGGATTCAAGTTTTGAGAGCAAGGATCAGTTAATTAGCACACCATGAATCGGAGGGAACAGCCTGTCAAGCATAAGAGAATTAGTGTGGCTTGGGATTAAGCTTGCAGGCACAGACTACAAAACCCCAATAAAATGATAGCTGTTGTATTAAACCCGTAAAGGCTCAAGACCCCTAAAGCCTTAAAGATAGAATGTCTAATCATTTTCCCGACAGCCAAACAGCTCGACCCCCGGAAAGTAGTACCCACAATAGGTGCTACTGTTTAAAGTTGAAGCACAACACACCCCATACCCATGACCTAAAGCAGAAGTTTACTTGGAATAAGCATCCCATGCACTTGGCCACTGCTGGATAAAACCCGGCTCAGCTAGAGGTCCGTCTTCACTTGCTCTCCTTCTTGAGTTGGGCCGCGACGGCACGTGCTTGAACACGTGTAATCTTCGCAGCCTCGACCTG